CAATTGCCTTTGCTTCTTTATCAAAATTTTTAATCACCTCTTCCTCATCTGTAGATCCTTCCGACGAAGAGTCATCCCTATTTCCTCAATTTGTTGTTTTGGTATATATAAAAAAAATTTTACTGATAATCACTAATTTTACTGATGTTATTATCACAATTTGTTGTTATATTATTATTTATTGTTATTCTGTTATATTATTTATTATGTATGATAATTATAAAGATTATATTTTTATTGTGATAAACTTAAAGGTTATACGCTGTTGAATTAAAACGCCGGGACAACTCTCAATACTGCTATAAGAGCATGAGCTTTGCTATACTACCGGCTACAGAAAATAGCTCGTCAGAGTGCGCTGCAGTTCGAGCAGGCCCTAAAAGTCGCTCTTTCTGGCGTCTCGGGCGGCCAGAATAACCATATTTTTGGCGGGTAGATCAAGAAATAATTTTTATTCATGCAACGCATGATATACAATATTAAAATTGAAAAAGATTAATCTCGACGTCCATAACCGCGGGGACCCCTGCTCCAGATGTTGCCACCACGGACGTTCACTGTTACGGGTGCCGCCATTTGTGCCGCGCCTGTAGTCACGTACCCCACGTTCATTGCTACCGGGACTCCGTCTTCCGCGTCTGTAGCCGCGTACCCCACGTTCATTGCTTCTAGGGCTCCATCCTCCGCGTCTGTAGCCGCGTACATTGCTACCAGGCCTCCGTTCCCTCCGTTCGTTGCCGCCGCTCCCGACGTCACCGCGTCCGTCGCCCGCCGCTCGCCCGACGTCATAGCGTCCGTCGCTGCTTCTGGCGTCACCGCTGCCACCGGCGTCGCAAACCTCTTCCTATAAAAAATATTATTATTATTATTATTATTATTATAAATATATCGTCTCTGTGGACGATTTAGTAGTTGTATTTTTTACTTACTTCACTAATACTGAATAATGGTGGCACGCCATCATAATCTTCCGGATCCATGTACCGGAGTATCTTCCTCGTCTGCTCTTCGAGATCTTTATCCTCGGAGATGGCCAATGTAGCGCCAAAACCAACGATGTCCCACTCGTCGTCGTCGTCGTCGTCGGACGGCACGTTCGTGTCGTCAAAGACGGGGTATGGATAACTATTATCGACCATCTTAAGCTGGCAACGTATATCGGTGAATTGAGACTTCGTCAAGCAGGAACAGGCGAAAACCAGGGGAGGCACATTATAAAAAATGTGAAAAAAAAAAACGTTTTGTCCTTATGAAGTTAATGTCGCCAAGCAGGAACACGCGAAGAGCATAAATGCGCATTATAAAAAATATCCTTGAGGATGACGCGCTATATATTACCTGTTAGAAGTCACCGAATAACCGAGTTTTTATATTCTCTACCTTTGTAGGAGCAAACGAGCCCAGCTACCAAAAATTCCTCCTGTTACGGATTTCAAATCTTTTATTTGAAATAAATATTTTAAGAGGAAGTAATCTTTTATCAAGTACAATAAATGCTATATATTTAAATAGAAGAAAGATGAATAATTTAAATATATTTTGAGTAAAATATAAAAATTAATTAAATTCAAATAAATAACGTTAAACAATTAGGAAACCATTATCATACAAGTAATATTATTGATCTTAAGAGGATGCTGAAAGGTCGGGAATTACCGACATTTGCATTCTAATGGATAACACCGAAACGATTGAACGGATTTAAAAACGCTTTTACAGGATTGAAATAGACATAAAATGTCATCGCGTTAGGTATATATGAATAGTAAAAACAAAAAAATATTCAAAAATTACCTTTTTTTGGGTATCTTAA